TTAAACCTACATGGAGTTGCTTTTGTAAAACTTCAAAATATTGCAAGGAAGGTTCGACTCCAGTTGATACAAGGCTTATCAATACAATTCTTAACAAATTTTAAACGTAACTTAAACCATGACTCCGCTCAAGATCGTGCACTTCAATTCTTGTTATCTCCTCGACATTCATGTTACAACAGAACCCATTCTTTTACATCAGGATAAATCCTGGATTGCATCGTCATCTTGTTTGTCTAGCCTTGCCTTAATGAAATGCTAACTTCTATAAGGAAACTTAACAGAATTAACAATAATTAGAATAATTTAATTTACTTGGTTTTGGCTATCATCCTCACATACGCTGGTCTAAATTTCTCTCTAATAACAAACAACAAATAGTGAATAAAGAAGGGCGATTAACGTACCAACAATTTCAAAAGTAATTTTCGCCACAGGAGCTGCTCTTCGGTGTCTCATGGTGAAGATCTTACCACCTGCGGAAGATAATGAGAACAATATGGTTTGAAATCAAAGAGCTCTCTGAGCCAAGTCGTGAATGTGGTATTGTAATAGCACTATTATGGCTGAAATGTGTGGTGTTATAGGCGAAAAGTTAATTTTATTTGTTAGCCAAAAAACCGTCTACGTGAGAGTAAAATCTGTGAAAATGAAGCTTTCCAAGTGACTGCCGAAGGTGCATTAAAAGTTGTCAACAAAGTATAGGAAGAGGGGTTAGTTAAATTGTTGTAACATGTTTGTCTTTGTTGGAAATATAAAGGTTTATCTGTTGGTAAAAACTGTTACAGTCGAACACCTATTAAGTGGCCACCCATTAAGTGGCCATCCCCAATTAGGCAGCCAGTTATCAGCCCTGAAAGTATTGTCAGTAAAATATTGTAAATAAAACCTTTATTTAGTGGCCACCTCTATTAAGCGGCCGCTTACCTCAAACCTCGGTCAAGTTGATTCAATTAAAGTACTTATCAGGTTTTCTTTTGCCTCCAGGGCTCGAAAACATTTCGAATTTTTGCCCTTTGGGCAAGTAACTCTCAAGTTTTGCTTTCCCGGGACACTTCTCCACTTGCCCAGGATCTCAAACTCAAAACACCCCTAAAAGGAAGTCATTCACTGGCGTGTTGGAATGCAATAAACCCGTCTGAAGTGTTTGCAGTCTTCTTAGTGTTAAATACTTTGCTCGCTATTTCAGGAATTACTAATATATGTGTTGAAAACAATGTTTTCAATCGTCGAAGCCTCGAAGGTCGTGTTTGACGCCTTGAACATTAAACTGCGTCTCGCCTTAGTTAGCCTAACTATAAAAAATTACTTTGTAGAGAAGCAAGTGAAATTAGAAACAAGTAGAATTGATAACAATTCGGCTTCTCCGCGTCAGTTTTCAGTGACACAGCTACGGTGTCGAATTTTTAAAGCCGGCAAGTGTATATTTTTTCATTTGAGTGAATGAAAAATAGTTTCAGTCGAGTGAAAACTTCTTCGTTTGAATAAAAAACTATTTTCCGTCAATATCCAGGAACACTATTTTTTGATGACTAACTTATCAATTTTTAACAAGATCAATGACACATTTTATTTCGGCGGCGCCCAAGTGTATTACTACTAGAAAGTTTGTGTATTTCGCTGGAGAGACTTGCCACAGGGATTTAGCTGGATTTGCTCATTAAAAATGCCGACGAGAGCTTCGTTTTTGCTGTAGAAATATACAAGTTCTTTTCGCGTACAGTTTCTACAGCCTTGATACATCGATGTCGAGTTTGGATTTATACAGTGAAACTGGGAAGTTCTGGGAAAAAAAATTGAAATTTTAAGAAACTAGTCGCTCTAAGACCGTTTACTCGGGCTTAGTACCGCAGTATCAAATCGTACTTTACGAAAACGCGTATTGGACACAATAAAAGCAAATTAAAGAATCAGTACATTTTAGCACAAGAGTTCCGCTTAGATGTTTACTATTCAAGTTGCTTCGTTGAGTATCCTCCTCATCCCATCCCAAGTTGTGAGTTTAAACCATTTTGGTTGAAGAATGAAGCACAGCTGTCTACGCATTTATGGAGAACTTGTTTGCAAAGAATTTTCGAGGTCTTTTTACAACTTATGGCGATTACTTTATACATGCTAACAGAAATTGTACGAAGTTCGTTTACTGGTCGTGGCGATCCGAGTAAATTGTGTAGCTGAACATCTTTGCTGTGTTGCGATCTTAAACCCTTTTCAAGAGTCATATCTCCTTTGGAGAGGGAATAATCCCTTTCGAGAGAGCCAAAACGAATCATGATAAACTCCTTCGCGAAAACAACAGTCCTGTGACTAGGCGCAAATTGCATTGCACATAATTTGGATAAACTTTCAAATTGTGTATTTTGCGGACAACTACCAAGAATTTCCGACCCTTAACGCAGTTTATGAAGAATTATGAAATTCTCAACCTCGGATAACGCAATTCTAGCTTTCTGACTGGCTCACTGTATCTCGGTTACCAGCCATTATACCTGCGTTTGACCTTATGTGGAAATTAATGCGACAACTGTCGCTTGGCATAAAAAATGTTTGCCGCCAGTTGATCGTTTCCTTCGCTCGCCGTCGCTCAACAATTAAACCGTTTTCCATTATCTCCTCGCTTTTACTGAGGCAAATAAGGTATTAGAGCATTTGTAAAAGACCTAAGAAAAAGGGGCAACATTCTGAACATTGCCGGCGTAGTCCATAAGAAACGGTGAGAAACCAATTTCCAATGAGCAAATGAAGAAACGGTTCGACAGCGGCGAGCTTGGACCGGCAGAGAACAAAAATCTTACACAGCTACAGAGAACGACCTAGTTTTACCTCCGTCTCTTTTGTGGCCGACGAGGACGAGAGAATCAACGCCAGCTAGCGCCAACAATTCTGTCCTTGCGAAAAAGCCCTCAAGGAGTTGAGTATTTTGAGCTGAACCGAAGTCGGCTCGGTTCTTTACCAGCCACGAAAAACCATCAGGGTAGCCTCGGAGATTCTGAAGATGAATCCGACGCTAAGATATTTTCTGTCCCTGACTCTGAAACTGGCCAGAAATCAGCTCCACACATTCAGCTCGAAACGCCAAAGCAGTCACAGCAAGGGAACGCTGAGAGAGTTCTTGTGGAGAATAATTTTGGCACAACGTCCGTGTCACATGGCGATCAAAGCTTTCGGCAGTATTTTTATCACTGTAAAGTGCAAGTGCACAATTATTACTCTTCTCGATGACTCAAACTTGAACTCTTTTCAAACTTTTTGACCAAGGTGGTATATCCTTCATTTGGTAGACGTTTCTTGAATTATGCATGATTGTAATTTTCAATCAGCAGACTCGCTTGCTTCGCTTTCAAATTTTTTCATTCAACTAAGTTTACAAACGGCCGGCATGTCATGTGATTTCCCACCTGTTGTTGTTGTTGTTGGCCCCATTAACTTCCGGTCGTTTTCTAAAATTTAAATCCAATAAAATTAAGCTATAATTTCCAAGTGCGCTACCGAATTTAATAACACAATTATTCCATTCGCGCTTGTTGGATACGAGACTGGTTATAGTGTAGCGAAAGTTACAGAGTACATTTGTGTCCGACCCTACCCCCCTTACAGTAGATATTGTCACGTGTTTTTGTTGGATGTGTATTAAAAACATGGCCGCAACATCACACTGGTGGCAGCGGTGTTCGACGCCTATCACGCCGCAAAATCCCTTCAAACAGGATTTGGNTTCTTGTTCTCTCCTCGACATTCATGTTACAACAGAACCCATTCTTTTACATCAGGATAAATCCTGGATTGCATTGTCATCTTGCTTGTCTAGCCTGACCTTAATGAAATGCTAACTTCCATAGGGAAACTTAACAGAATTAACAATAATTTAAATAATTTAATTTACTTGGTTTTGGTCTGAATTTCCTTCTAATGACAAAAAACAAATAGAGAATAAAGAAGAGCAATTAACGTACCAACAATTTCAAAAGTAATTTTCGCCACAGGAACTGCTCTTCGGTGTCTCATGGTGAAGATCTTACCACCTGCAGAAGATAATGACAACAATATGGTTTGAAATCAAAGAGCTCTCTGAGCCAAGTCGTAAATGTGGTATTGTAATAGCACTATTATGGCTGAAATGTGTGGTGTTATAGGCGAAAATTTAATTTATTTGTTGGCCAAAAAACCGTCTACGTGAGAGTAAAATCTGTGAAAATGAAGTCTTCCAAGTGACTGCCGATGGTGCATTAAAAGTTGTCAACAAAGTATAGGAAGAGGGGTTAGTTAAATTGTTGTAACATATATGTCTTTGTTGGAAATATAAAGGTTTACCTGTTGGTAAAAACTGTTACAGTCGAACGCCTATTAAGTGGCCACCCATTAAGTGGCCATCCCCAATTAGGCGACCAGTTATCAGTCCTGAAAGTATTGTCAGTAAAATACTGTGAACAAAACCTTTTTTTAGTGGCCACCTCTATTAAGCGGCCGCTTACCTCAAACCTCGGTCAAGTTGACTCAATTAAAGTACTAATCAGGTTTTCCTTTGCCTCCAGGGCCCGAAAAAATTTCGAATTTTTGCCCTTTGGGCAAGTAACTCTCAAGTTTTGCCTTCTCGGGACACTTCCCCGCTTGCCCAGGATCTCAAACACAAAACACCCCTAAAACGAAGTCATTCACTGACGTGTAGGAATGCACTGAAGTGTTTGCAGTCTTCTTGATGTTGAATACTTTGCTTGCTATTTCAGGAATTACAAGCTGATTTATCTTGGTTCTTACACTAAAACACCAAGGGTTTTCAATGTGTTGAAATCAATGTTTTCAATCGTCGAAGCCTCGAAGGTCGTGTTTGACGCCTTGAACATTAAACTGCCTCTTGCCTAAGTTAGCCTAACTATAAAAAATTACTTTGAAGAGGAGCAAGTGAAATTAAAAACGAGTAAATTAATAACAATTCGGCTTCTCCGCGTCAGTTTTCAGTGACACAGCTACGGTGTTGAATTTGTAAAGCAGGCAAGTGTATATTTTTTCATTTGGGTGAATGAAAAATAGTTTCAGTCGAGTGAAAACTTCTTCGTTTGAATGAAAAACTACTTCCCGTCAATATCCAGGAACAACTTTTTTTGATGATTAACTTATCAATTTCTTTTTAACAAGATCAATGATATATTTTATTTCGGCGGCGCCCAAGTGTATTACTACTAGAAAGCTTGTATGTTTCCCCGGACAGACTTACCACAGGGATTTAGCTGGATTTGCTCATTAAAAATGCTGACGAGAGCTTCGTTTTTGCTGTAGAAATATACAACTTCTTTTCGCGTACAGTTTCTACAACTTTAATACATCGATGTCGAGTTTGGTTTTATACATTGAAACTGGGAAGTTCTGGGAAAAAAAATTGAAATTTTGAGAAACTAGACGCTCTAAGACCGTTTACTCGGGCTTCGTACCGCAGTATCAAATCGTACTTTACGAAAACGCGTATTGGACACAATAAAAGCAAATTAAAGAATCAGTATATTTTAGCACAAGAGTTCCGCTTAGATATTTACTATTCAAGTTGCTTCGTTGAGTATCCTCCTCATCCTATCGCAAGTTGTGATTTTAAGCCATTTTGGTTCAAGAATGAAGCACAGCTGTCTAAGCATTTATGGACAACTTGTTTGGAAAGAATTTTCGAGGTCTTTTTACAACTTATGGCGATTACTTTGTATACGCTAACAGAAATTGTACGAAGTTCGTTTTACTGGTCGTGGCGATCCGAGTAAATTGTGTAGCTGAACATCTTTGCCGTGTTGCGATCTTAACCCTCTTCAAGAGTCATATCTCCTTTGGAGAGCGAATAATCCCTTTCGAGAGAGCCAAAACGAACTATGATAAACTCCTTCGCGAAAACAACAGTCCTGTCACTAGGCGCAAATTGAATTGCACATAATTTGCATAATCTTTCAAGTTGTGTATTTTGCGGAAAACTTCCAAGAATTTGGGACCCTTAACGCAGTTTATGAAGAATTATTAAATTCTCAACCTCGGATAACGCAATTTTAGCTTTCTGATTGGCTCACTGTATCCCGGTTACCAGCCATTATACCTGTGTTTGACCTTATATGGAAATTAATGCGACAACTGTCGCTTGGCATAAAAACATTTTTGCGGGAAGCCAAGTTTTGTCGACAAAAAAATGGAAAAAAAAATTCGGTGAGCTATCTAAAGAAGAAACGTAAACAATTACGGACAATGCCGTCCCAGTAACAACAAAAAAGCCACAAAGTTCGGAATGAGAACATTCAACGGTACGTATCCGTTAAGTTTCCCTTAAAGGTTGTAAAATTTCAAATATGAACGTCGAGATTTTACGCATTCATGAAGATTACGTAACAACAACAATTTTTACCTTAATGTTACTGAATGGTTTCTTAGTCTTGGTGGCACCAAATTTTCGAAACCGATAGAAGAAGTGTCAAAAGAAAAACTGAATGTTTTTCTGAAGACTTTTTGCTCGTTTTCGAGGAAGAAAGATGGCACGTCAGTTTACAAAAGTTCATCAATGAACCATCTGAGAGCCGCCAGTTGATCGTTTCCTTCGCTCGCCGCCGCTCAACAATTGAACCGTTTTNCGAGGAAGAAAGATGGCACGTCAGTTTACAAAAGTTCATCAATGAACCATCTGAGAGCCGCCAGTTGATCGTTTCCTTCGCTCGCCGTCGCTCAGCAATTAAACCGTTTTCCATTATCTCCCCGCTTATACTGAGGCAAATAAGGCATTACAGCATTTGTAAAAGACCTAAGAAAAACGGGCAACATTCTGATCATTGCCGGCGTAGTCCATAAGAAACGGTAAGAAACCAATTTCCAATGAACAAATGAAGAAACTGTTCGACAGCGGCGAGCTTGGACCGGCAGAGAACAAAAATCTTATACAGCTACAGAGGGCGACCTAGTTTTACCTTGGTCTCTTTTGTGGCCGACGAGGACGAGAGAATCAGCGCCAGCTAGCGCCATCAATTCTGTCCTTGCGAAAAAGCCCTCAAGGAGTTGAGTATTTCGAGCTGAACCGAAGTCGGCTCGGTTCTTTACCAGCCACGAAAAACCATCAGGGTGGCCTCGGAGATTCTGAAGATGAATCCGACGCTAGGATATTTTCTGTCCCTGACTCTGAAACTGGCCAGCAATTAGCTCCACACGTGCAGCTCGAAACGCCAAAGCAGTCACAGCAAGGGAATGCTGAAAGAGTTCTTGTTGAGAATAATTTTGGCACAACGTCCGTGTCACATGGCGATCAAAGCTTTCGGCAGTATTCTTGTCACTGTAATGTGCAAGTGCACAATTACTACTCTTCTCGATGACTCAAACTTGAACTTCTTTCAAACTTTCCGACCAAGGTGGTATATCCTTCATTAGGTAGACGTTTCTTGAATTGTGCATAATTGTAATTTTCGCTCAGCAGACTCGCTTTCTTCGCTTTCAAATTTTTCATTCAACTAAGTTTACAAACGACCGGCATGTCATGTGATTTCCCACTTGTTGTTGTTGTTTTTGGTCACTTTAACTTCCGGTCGTTTTGGAAAATTTAAATCCAATAAAATTAAGCTATAATTTCCAAGTACGCTACCGAAATTAATAACACAATTATTCCATTCGCGCTTGTTGGATATGAGATTGGTTATAGCCAACGAGGCCCGAAGGGCCTCGTTGGCTATTTACCATCTCATATCCAACGCGTGCTCATGGAATAATTGTTAAATATTCAAGCTACATATTTTTATTGAATCAAGGCAGGAATACTTTTAAAGAGGACTCTCATTTATAAGGGAAGATGTAGCACTCTGTTTTGCTATTTATTTTGGTTTCATACTCGCCTAGTTCATGTCACGCACCATGATTTTCTTTGCAGTCAGACACAGTTTTCTAAAAGAATTAGCGATTGCTAAGACTGTTAAATATATTTGAAGTACTAGTGAAATAACTGGCTAAACTATCGTCGATGCAGATTTTCCTTAGGACTTGGCAAGAACATTGGCTCGTCAATAATCCCGCACAATTCCCCGCACAATCGTACACACGTTTGAGGCTGCATCCGTACCTAAAAAGCTAAGAACTTTGCTGAAAACTTCATACTGTTTGGTACCGGTAAGCGGTTGAATCTGTTTCAAGGCTGTCAAGTCAAGCTCTCAGTCGGTTTTCTCATCAACACCACTACACATTATAAGTACCACGGCGTGCATCTGGACCCGACACTTAATTTTGAAACTCACTTTCAAAAAATTTACAAGAAGGCAGCAGGAAGAGTGAACCTCTTATGGCGCATCCGTTCCAGTATTGATACTTTTACTGCCCAACGAATTTACCAATCCATGATTATGCCAATATTTACGTATTGCGGCTATACTAGTCTTGGATGGTCAGAGTCCCGCAAACGCATGANCATCGCCAAACGTACACACACAAAGAAATAAAACAGACAAACAAAGGAACAAACAACAACAACAAAACAAGTGACCTGCTTCTCTTCTGTTTCTGTTCACGCCTATGTCAACCAGACCGCACGTCACTTTCACATTTTCCGCTTTACATTTGTCACGATAGACCGGGTCATTGCAAATCATTTCCATAGCTGTTGTGTTTAATATTTGTATGAACTGGGTCTTTATCTGCGCTTGAGCCTCAGGAGTCGTGCAATCTCCAGTGTAATAATGCAATGCTCCCGCTCTTCTGACTTGAGATGGCTGATATGGTACTACAAGACAGAAGGTATATCGTTTATTAATTGCCAGCGTTTGATACCACAATTATGTAATAGTTTGTAATCTAACAATGAGATTATCAGCTCCAGATTTTTATCGCGTGATAGTTGAAGAGGATGCAACCCGAGTAAACTATCACCCATAGAAATCGAGAGCGAGTTGCTTTATAAATCTTTTAATCGCACAAAACTTAAACAAAATCCTCTTCACAGACATTTTAAAAAGGCAAAGAAGCGGCGGCAATTTTGTTAACAAGCGCTCATTGCTAGGCTACTCACTATTTACAACAAATTAGGTAGTAAGAAGTGCAGTCAATAACAGAACGACATTCTTGATCGAACGCTAGTAGACAGAAACTTCAAGAGAAATACCTTGCTTACTTGTCTGCCCGGAATCGTGAAATGAAAATTGTCTGTTGTAAGTACGTTACTCTTTACACTTTATAAGGTTAAATAAAGATACCCAATGTGTACTCGTGTTTTATAGGAGCACATTTGCTTTGGGGTGAGGTTTAGCAAAGAGGTTTTGGGAACTAGTGAATAATGGACTGGGAAAAATTGAGGTTAACATTTCATTTAGCCACTAGAAATGGTTATAATTTGCCCCTTTTGGTAAATAACTCTGGGCTTGGTCCTTATTACTGCAATGAAGCTCGTAATCATTTAATTACTCACATGAACAGTCTGGCCAGTGTGCAGGTGGTGCCCACTTTCCTTTTGCACCGCAAACCCATATGACAAAAACAGATAATGGCTGCACAAAATCCCAGCGATCATTGCAAAATGGAACACAATACCGGCCTAGAGCCCAGTCATCGCAAGACATCGCGCCATTCTTAGGTGGCCTTTTGTCGGGGCAGTCGTTTGCTGGAAAAAGAACAGTCACATACACTTGGCTTTTATGTAAGGTAATGAAAGTCTTCAAGTTAAAATTCTACCGAAATCCAGGATTCAGGATTCAGAATTCTGGATTCAGAATTCTTTGGCAAAAATTCACATATAGATGTGTCTTAGATTGATTTTCTTGACTTTCCAGTCTACCCTAGGCGACCTGTAGAATGCATAGCCTAGGCCGTGCGCGGTCATTATCACGGACTCACTAGCACGACAAACGGTACAGAAACGTCAAGCAAAGTGCTCACTCACGTTTAACAGTTATTGTAAACTTGCACAATGCAGGGTCATTATTTATGTTGCTATCGTGAGCTGAACATTGTACATTCCAAGTTCCCCAGTAGAACAGTGAGCCACTTTTGTGACTGCAGCGGATATTCAAGGGTTCGTTGCTGTTGTCTTTAAATTGCGGCTGCTTCCATTTTACAATTGTTGTCATTCTTGTGGCAACAAGTTCCATATCAGGAGGACAGTAAACAACTTCAGGGCCTTCATTATCTGCGTGAAAGACAAAGTATGTCACAATCCCACGATCAACAGTAGCTTGAAAGACGCAATACATAGAATTGAAAGTGCCTGTTCTAAATTTCCAGTCAACCTTATTACATAAAACTATGACTAATTTGCACATTTGTTTGTTCATTTATTTTCAGCTACTTTGATGTACTGCCCTGTTATCGAGGTATAGACCAAACAAGAGTCACTTGTATATTGTGGTATAACTACAAGAAGTCAATTAAAGGAATCTTTTTAGAAAATTCAACAACCGTGAACTGCGATCAAGAAGCAAAACGAAACTTTTTGTCAACATAGGCCAACTAGAATTGACTTGAATTGAAATCTCGGAAAAGCAATAAAGCTTTTATTCAAACTGAATACGTTAAATAACAAGATTATCTATTATCAGGCTAGTACTTATTTTTATAACTTAACCACAACTTATAAAGTAACTTACAACGAATGTTTACCAACCTTCTACTTCTATTTTAAAAGAGCATTTTGCAATGTTTCCTGCTGAATCTACGGCGGTGTAGTCGACTCTTGTGGTTTCGCTAAACGAGTGAGGTGGATGAATACCCTTTGGTGAGACGGTGACTATCGGTGCCAGATTGCTGTTGTCTGATGCCACAGGAATTGTCCAATTTGCTTCCGCTTTTGAGTCGTTCTCCAAGCTTACAGCGATGTCTAATGGACAGCTCAAGAATAGAGGTGGTACAACATCTAAAAACAAGGCCCCAGAATTTAAATATCATAAGAAAACGAGCTATCTAAGAATTCGTACGGTTTCTGAAATCTTGTGCAAGAATGCATCATGGATTTGTTTAAACAGGAATTTGCTTCATAGCTATTTGAGTTTGATTAAGAAGTGTATGCAGCTGGTTCATAGCTTAAGGCTCTTTGAGGTTTAAAAACAACAAAATTCCAGTTGTGAACGTTATTCCAATGTTGTATTGTAATTTAACGACCGGGTACACACAGGGTGGGGAGGGCAAGCCACTCAGAGGATGTATCGAGATTTGGGAAACAGGATTGGTTCAGTATTACAGCAAACTTCTACTTAGCTTTACTGTAATTGTATAGGATAAGATAGATTGCAGTAGAGTGGAAAGGTAGCGGAGGAAACAAAGTGAAATGAGATAGTTTGATTACATACCTTTGCAATTAAANTACGTTAAATAACAAGATTATCTATTATCAGGCTAGTACTTATTTTTATAACTTAACCACAACTTATAAAGTAACTTACAACGAATGTTTACCAACCTTCTACTTCTATTTTAAAAGAGCATTTTGCAATGTTTCCTGCTGAATCTACGGCGGTGTAGTCGACTCTTGTGGTTTCGCTAAACGAGTGAGGTGGATGAATACCCTTTGGTGAGACGGTGACTATCGGTGCCAGATTGCTGTTGTCTGATGCCACAGGAATTGTCCAATTTGCTTCCGCTTTTGAGTCGTTCTCCAAGCTTACAGCGATGTCTAATGGACAGCTCAAGAATAGAGGTGGTACAACATCTAAAAACAAGGCCCCAGAATTTAAATATCACAAGAAAACGAGATATCTAAGAATTCGTACGGCTTCTGAAATCTTGTGCAAGAATGCATCATGGAGTTGTTTAAACAGGAATTTGCTTCATAGCTATTTCGAGTTTGATTAAGAAGTGTATGCAGCTGGTTCATAGCTTAAGGTTCTTTGAGGTTTAAAAACAAAAAAATTCCAGTTGTGTATTGTAATTTAACCATCGGGTACACACAGGCTGGGGAGGGCAAGCCACTCAGAGGATGTATCGGGATTTGGGAAACAGGATTGGTTCAGGATTACAGCAAACTTCTACTGAGCTTTACTGTAATTGTGTAGGATAAGATAGATTGCGGTAGAGTGGAAAGGTAGCGGAGGAAACAAAGTGAAATGAGATAGTTTGATTACATACCTTTGCAATTAAAAGTTGGTTTGTCACCCTTATCCCATTTTCCATCGTTTTTACAATGCACCTTGTGTATATTGCCCACAATCTTGTAACCATACTTGCACTCGAAGTCGCAGTATGTTCCACTGACCGGAGATATTGTACATATGTAGGGAGAAACATAACCGGATGGAGGTGCTTTCAGTTTGGAGCACGTGCGTACTGAATATAACGGTAAAAGGGCACTAGTGTTAAGTTGTTGAAAAAATGTCGCCAAAGCAGTTCATATAATTCAAATTTTGGGCACAAGCCACATCCAGATAACTGTCCAAAAAATGAAAAACAAAGCTTACTTTTACAGGTAGGAAACGGTGTATCCCAGTACCCTGTCAAATGACCAGGCTTGACTAAACACGTGGTAGTTGCTGAACCGTTGAGGTAATACCCCTCACTACATCCCATTATGCATCTTGAACCATAGGTGTCTCCACAGTTGCTGACGAAAAAGCCATTGAATGGAGGAAGCAATCTTTGGCATCGTGTGACTGTAATAAAAAAGATGTGGTGTTTTACCAAGCCGACTTACGCAGCGGGCAAACACATCTCACTTCCGTTTATACTAAGCCATCAAATTTAACTAGATAACTTATTGTGTACCGATAAACGCGTTTGAAAGCAGAAGTATCTTCGGTTTCTGTATCATGACTAGGGGTATTTAATCCATAGCAGGGTTACCCCCAGCATTAATTCGCTGGTAACCATCCTTTATACACCTGGATGGAAAGAGGCACCGGGAGAGTAAAGTGTCTTGCCCAAGAATACAAAACATATTATCCCCAGCCAGGGCTTAAACCCGGGCTGCTCGTTCTGGAGTCGAGTGTGCTAACCGCGAGGCTACCCCGCCCCGCTCCCTCGTTATCCCCATTCTCCCAGGGAGAATGAGGATTACTAAATCGAAAAACTTACTCTCCTGTCGTAAACAGTGATGTTAATCATTGTGGGTATAAGAGGGTGGGAATATAATTACAACGACGAGAAAACAAACCTGAGAAAATTAATAATTGTTTTAATTACAAAAAAGTGGGATCTATTAACCACTGGGGCAATTTTAGCTACCTAGTTTAGTCACTAAAGCGAATGACTGCATCTCGTCAAGTCAATGCACTGATATAAGGTAAGACCTATTTTGGCGAACCATGGGGTTTGTAAAATCCCTATGTTTATAAAGAGGCCAGTGCTATCCGTAAATTCATCAAATAAGAAATTCATAATTTCACTGCAATTTATCTTTGCATTTGGCTCAAATCGGGAGACTGTGCCATTAGTTGTTTACTAGTTTGCAGCATTTTCTTTACCTATAGCAAAATGACTTAATAGTGGAAATATATTCTGTATTTGATAGCAGGGCCATTCAAAGGCCATTTGGTATTTAATAGAAGTGACTAATACAATCGAACCTCTTAAATACAGACAGCAAAAGGCAAGACCTGAGTGTCTGCATTATGTATGTGCCCGTGTTATAAAGGTAGAGAACTTTTCAATTCTGGTTTCTCTGGGATTAAGTGAACTGTTCATTATACAGAGGTGTCCGTATTATGGAGGTATCCGTAAGAAGAAGTTCGACTGCACAACGTACTACACTATCGAACGCAATAGATAGCCTACCATCAACGGAAATATAAAACTGACAAATCTTGAAATTTCCTGCTTGGTCACTCGCGTTGTACACGACCAAGTGCTTTCCTTTATAGTACTTGGGTGTTACCCCACTTGAGGTAACAACTGGATTGATACCAGAGTTGTCTGTAGCAACTACTGGGGGCCACGATACAGTTGTATAGCTCTTTCCTTTGTCTGCTGTAGTCCTGAAGTCAATGGGACAGGTTTGGCCAAATGATGGACTTTCCCTGTCTAAAGATAGCAACACACCTTGTTAGAAAAAAGCCGCCAATTTTGTTAAATAATTGAAGGTTTATTTGCACTTTAAACCAACAGTTTAACTTATATAACTGTGCGGAGTTTCGACAGAATGCTAGAAATGAAAATGTTAAAGAATCTCAGCTGTACAAGCAGTTGGGCACAAGTTCCTAAACCATTCAAGTGTAACTTATTTTGAGTATTTGTGTCAAAAATAGTATGAAAACCAGGCCAAAGAAACCAATGTTGGTGGCCAATCGACCAGTAATTAGTCGATAATCATGATACATGTATAGCAATCTCGTTTATCTACTAAAAGGTCAGGCTTCTTTCAGTTTCCCNACGTACTACACTATCGAACGCAATAGATAGCCTACCATCAACGGAAATATAAAACTGACAAATCTTGAAATTTCCTGCTTGGTCACTCGCGTTGTACACGACCAAGTGCTTTCCTTTATAATACTTGGGTGTTACCCCACTTGAGGTAACAACTGGATTGATACCAGAGTTGTCCGTAGCAACTACTGGGGGCCAAGATACAGTTGTATAGTTCTTTCCTTTGTCTGCTGTAATCCTGAAGTCAACGGGACAGGTTTGGCCAAATGATGGACTTTCCCTGTCTAAAAATAGCAACACACCTTGTTAGAAAATGGCCGCCAATTTTGTTGAATAATTGAAGGTTTATTTGCACTTTAAACCAACAGTTTAACGTACATAACTGTGCGGAGTTTCGACAGGATGCTAGAAATTAAAATGTTAAAGAATTTCAGCTGTACAAGCAGTTGCGCACAAGTTTCTAAACCTTTCAAGTGTAACTCATTTTAAGTATTTGTGTCAAAAATGGTATGAAAACCAGGCCAAAGAAACCAATGTTGGTGGCCAATTGACCAGTAATTAGTCCATAATCATGATACATGTTTAGCAATCTCGTTTATCAACTAAAAGGTCAGGCTTCTTTCAGTTTCCCTATGTTTTACATACCTTTGCAAAGCGTACTGGAGTTGGTTGACCATTCGCCGTTGCTGAGACAAGAAGTTAAAGGTTCTCCCTCTAGTCTAAAACCTTTACGGCAGGAAAAGTAACACGAAACTCCAAACTTTGGCGAAGAGTTACAAGCATCAGGCTTTACGTAGCCATGAGCTGGAGGATGTAATGGTGAGCATTCAACCTCTGGAGATATGGAAAAACAAGAAAACAGTTAACTTGGTTGCGTTTTACGCTCAAATTACTCGAAAAAATTAGTAAATAAATAAATAAACAAAATAAATAAAAAATAAGGTAATAAGGTTAACCACAGCCTAGAAGGTGTCTTTTTTGTTGCTCTGAAGACACGACTGCGAAACATGTGAAAAACAGTGACTTCAAACTGGCGCAACACTGGCCCTTGTGTTTGGGGCATTCATTGAAACTCATTGAAACGAAAATTTCATCTTCTCCATAGGAAGATATTTATGGGTCTCCAAACTTTTCATTTGGATTTGCAAAAAGCAATTTTAATTATCATTCGATGGATTTTTTCTTTCTTCCTTTCCATTGGCCAAGAGCCTACCACGTCACCTGCGAATAACTGCTAACAAATAATGGCCTGCTCATGCGTAGTACCATCCAAACGTGTTTTGCTGCAAATAATATTCTGCTCATGCGTAATTAAAATAACGTTGTCGAGTGAAAATGGGAGATCGCTTCCCTAGCTGTCAGGGAGTGATTAAAATATGAAAACAAACTTGGTGATCGATTGATAAAACAATTATTGAACTCGGTTATCGCAAAATATTGTGATTTGTCAGTGTCTCGCAGATCAATTATTGATCTGCTCGCCACTGACAAATCACGATATTTTGCTCAACCTCGTCCAATAATTGTTAGTTATTTGACTCTGCTTGCACTGTCAAAGGTGCTAGCTTATGAAAATGAATGATAATGGACTTACGGTACAAATGTCAAAAAAACGTGCTCACTCTGATCCCGTGAAGAATGTCAAACGCTTTTGACTGACACGGAAAGGGAATGTATATTGCAACAATGGAAAAACATGGACATTGGGGCTTCCTTGGGATTTCCTTAAGTGGCTGGCAACAGTTTCCGGTACTTTCCATCAGTTATTCTTTGACGGATCAATACCGTTATCAAGTGACTTTAGAATGTTTGGATCACTCAATACCCAATTACTGGTGGACAATCTGTGGTTACCCTCATGGCATAATAGTTTATCCTGCCAAAAGTACGATCTGTTAAAAACACCCTTAGTGTTCGCTTTATATGTAAGTGCTTATAACTAAAAAGCACCTCAGGAAACCACACGTTTTGCTGTGGAATTGTAATTAACATGATAAGATACGAGTGTTTGCAAAGTTTGAAACTAAATTGACGAGGAGGTTCAGAACCTCCTTAACTTTTCGAAAATTTAAGGGGGCTCTGAACCTCCTCAGAATGTTTCAATGTTTTTCTCAATGGTTTCCATTAAATTTCTCTAAATGTGGCCATTCAATCGTTACGTTTCTAACTGATCTGCTTACATTAATCTGCTGAAGATATATACATCAAATATCTACGTAAGTCCCTCTTAGGCTTGTGACTTGGATACACTTAACACGCTTTCACAGGCCAATACCAAGTCTTCTTTTCACACGGACATCTTTTTTTCGGTTAGCACGGTTTCCTTATTTTTCAGTGTTTCTCAATCTTTTAAAGAATTATTAAAAGGTGTTTTGTCTTGGGCTGAAAGTGGATTTTGTTAGTGGCACCAACAAGGGAAACTTAAGGCGATTTTACATTGAAACCCCAGTGCTTTAAGGCTTGATTCAACGACAGAAATTTACTCAGCTTTCGTCGACTTTGCAAACTGAGTTATTAGCAATTATACCCGATGGCTGCACGGCATGGATACAACACCCACACACAATGTTAACTAAACATTCACATTCCCTATTAACATCTCACCGCGACAACGTAGGGGCTGTCCAGACCAAGTGCCGTTGGCTTGACAGATTCTTTCTTTTGATCCACTGACTTGATAAAATCCTCGTTGGCAATATAGGAGACACTTGTCACCAAATACATTTTGTATTTTTCCACCCCCACAGCCTGACTGTAAAGTGTTTGCTGAGAGAGCGAGATGTGGACATCTAACCACTTAATATGGGTAGAAAGAACATTAGTCAGAGGCAGTGCAAGAAAGGGGTTTTCGAAAACGCGCAATTTTGGTTTCCATAACTTAGATTTCAATATTCAGCAGCGCATCGTTGGGGTGTGCACAGGTGGTGTGCAGCTGGAAGAGAATAAATACCATATGGCACTAGAACATGAACTATTACTCAGAGAAAAAACTGAAGATTTCTAACAGACGCAAGACAGTCAGTGCTGACATGACTCGATGAGAAGAAACATAACACTAGTTTAATCAAACGTTTCTGGACAGCGAGCAGCGAGAGGTCCAATTTTATCAGTCGTTAAAAGTTTTGGGGTTGGTTAAATACTCTTCTACTTTTTTTTTTCAAGGTTTATTTAGATTGATTGGTTTCTAATGATAATATGATAGATTGATAGGTTTCTAATGAATATTCAATTAACTTAATCTCTACTACTTTTTTATTTAAAAAAAAAATGAATCCACGTATCATGCACGAGCCAGAAAGTAGTTCCTACGTGCACAGCGAGTGTCACTTCCAGTCCAGACACCTAGAGACGTTGTCCCATTCATCTCACAAACTCTGCGGACAGATCCTTCTAAGGTGTAGCCATGGCGACAAGCAAAAGTGCATACAGAACCATAAATGTTGTTCTTGCTGCATTCCATTTTACCACCCGGAGAGGCAGCTAACTTAGGCAAACAGCGGACCACTATAAAATTAAAATACTTGCGTCAAATAACACAATTATGAGAACTGGCTGGTTGGCACAAGTTGTAAATTGTTTAACATAGGAAACAGTATTTCTCGTTAATAATTTAATTATATCGCTCCTAATTCAAAAAATATACCTGCTCGAAGTCTCCAGCTCTTTGTTAACTTGTTTTCGTTTCGAGAAAACGTCTCAAAGACAATGCTTCGTTTCAAACAAATGGGCCATGAACTAAAAACGCATTTGTCCATTGCTTTCGATTTACATAAACACATAACAACGTGCACACATTGCCTACTTTGTGTGAACTGTTTCATCAAAAATGTTCACATACGCTAGGGTAGGGTAGGGTCACATTTTGTCACATTTGTCACTATGCTGCCAATGTTCGATGCGCAAAACGTCTGACTATTATGCTCAAAAGGGGTCCCTATGATGCTNACAAAAATACCCTATAGTGACTTCAAAATACTGTTTAAATCGTCAAAATACGTTCAAAACAGTTTAAAATCAGTTTAAAAATACGGCTGTTTTGGTAAGGGATCGCTCCTAATTCACAAAATATACCTGCTCGAAGTCTCCAGCTCTTTGTTAACTTGTTTTCGTTTTGAGAAAACGTCTCAAAGACAATGCTTCGTTTCAAACAAATGGGTCATGAACTAAAAACGCATTTGCCCATTGCTTTCGATTTACGTAAGCACATAACAACGTGCACACATTGCGTACTTTGTGTGAACTGTTTCATCTAAAATGTTCACATATGCTAGGGTAGGGTAGGGTCACATTTTGTCACATTTGTCACTATGCTGCCAATGTTCGATGCGCAAAACGTNTTAAAGCTGTTTTTGTTGCCAAAATGTTTCGTGATTTATCGCCAAGTGTTCTTAATTTTTTTAGCAATTAAAAGTTTAAAACTTTCTTTTGCTTCTAAAAATGTGTACTGAAACCTACTAACGACTTAACAGTCACTTAACAGTGATTTCAAATTGAGTCGTTTTGCTTTCGAGGTGCGTCAGAATTTGAAGCCGTTCCACGTGAATAGAAATCGTTCCTGAGCCCGTCAGACACACAGTAGAGATATAATACGTATCTTACTAACCTCGTTTTGGCGGTCCGTACTGTAAGTTACGGATCCTCGTTTTCCCTTTCGATTTATGGCCCGCGCGCTTTGCGCTTAGGCCATAAATCGATAGGGAAAAACTCGGTCCGTAACTTACAGTACGGCCCTCGAACTCGGTTAGTAAGAGGTTATTAAATCGTCAGCAGAAATTACCTGAAACAAAAACCTTGAAGGTACATTCGGCAAGGTTCCCTCTTTTATCGGTTGCAGAGTAACGTATGACGTGATCTCCTGGATTGAAAATGGTTCCCGAATTTTTGCCATGTAGTGTCACGTTGGGCGGAATTCCAGAATTATCCATGACGTCAGGAATAACCCATTCGACTTTGGAGGACGTTTTTTCCCTTGCAGCTGTGACTAAAATATTTTTAGGACAAGACGAGAACTTTGGTGGAGCTACATCTGAGAAAAGAAAGATGTTAATATTGCTGAAGCATTAGTAACACCAAATTAGAGGGCGACAATGAATGGCTACTCAAACTAACTGCACGTATCAACAAATATAAATAGCAAGAAAGTGGTGGGGATGGGGTGGGAAAGGTACATGTGTACGCTACATAAAACATGTTCCATCTACCTCAGTTGGGTGTGAATATTGCAAAGCCGTATATATTTGTTCAGGTAACCCCTTGCTCTCCTTGCGGTACTATTCTCTTTAGAACAAAAACCATTTGCTCTAAACGCATGCGCAGATTAGTTAGCGCTCGTCTCTTCTGTATATTAGGTGCAGGATATATTGCATATGGAATCACGCACAAATGTCGAGTGGTTTTCCTTATGGTAGAACTCAGCATGTAAGACGCATGCGTCTTCCATCGTTAGTGTTATGCACTAAATTTCCACGCGGTATTTTGTCCTGTCAATCGACCGAGGACGGCAGTTATTTTTCAGGTAGTGCCTCTTGCTTCATTTTATTGAAACGTCACTGTGGCTGCGTAGCTTTTAGAATTACACACAGGTCGGTTCAACAAATATCTTCTGTTTCCAATCTACAATATAGTGTGTTTGTCAGGGTTCAATTGTATTACTTCTCCTTAGCGGCTTGTTTATTTCTTGCCTTAATTGCGTCTGTAAGAGAAACCAAAAAGTTCCCGAGTGGCTTTAATACTCTGTACAAATTGTAAATTCGTGACAAAAGAAACCTGGAAAGTGCTCAAGTATTGCTGCAGACTCCGTGCTGACCTAACGAAAGCGCAAATTAATTTAATCAGTTGAGGAGACTCGTTCAAATCGGCGAAGTAGCGCTGTTTACCTTCAATACTTTTCGTTGAAACGCTTCTCAGTTGTATCAATCAATATCGTTGTGTATTAATTTTGAATTGTTTTATTGCTAACAACAAAGTGGGCGACAGAAAAAGGAAGTGGTATTCCGTGACTATTTGATAATTAAATTAGTTCTTGTTCATCGGTGATAAGAAAATTTGCGTTTTTAGTAAAACAACATTATTTCTCTTCCATTTCTTCATCACTACATCAAATATTTAACTTTCTTTCATTTATCTCCAAAAAACAAGCACATCTTGTGTGTGTTTTGGACAAAACATGGGTTTCATATTACATACCTTTGTAAGGAAAACAAAAGCATCAAAGTACATAGTTGGCGTGAGGAACTTTTGTCACGTTTTAATTCACACCGGATGTAGCTTCTTTTGTTTACTGTTGTATAGCTAGTTACCAATACCTCGCTTTAATTTTAATCTTTTTAAATCTACTCATATTTTGTAACCGTCACTTCTGAAGATGTATGTTGTAGCATACGAAACGTCAAGTTTAATATACCATGGGTAACCTATTTGTTATGTTTGTTACCGCTGTTTGATTTCTCTTTCTCGTGAAGTCAACTTGCGGAAATAAACTACCGTAGTTTGCTGCTGTTACCGGCGATCCTGAGTTTTGGCGCGAAAATTTCCGTATGAGCCGTAGTTCACTGTTCAAGCTAGCTGACCAGCTGAGGCCGTATATCGAGAGCAAGACTACAATAATGCGGGCCCCAGTCGATGTTGTTAAACAGGTTGCAGTCACCCTTTACTACTTAAGAGGCCCTGCGCCTAAGAAACGACCGATGATTTCCGGCTAAAAAATAAAATCGGCCGATTTTTATCTCCCAAGCAGAGGTTACCGAATACTA